CACAGCTCTTGTGGCGCAATTGGTTAGCGCGTTCGGCTGTTAACCGGAAGGTTGGTGGTTCAAGCCCACCCAGGAGCGTAATTTTTATTATTACTTTTCTTTTACATTTAATTCCTGGGAACAAATAATGGTTGTCAGAAATCTTTGTTTGTCCACTGTGTACAAACGAGTGACGGCGTGAAAAAAAACTGAAAATGAAGTACCTTATAAGATAAAAAAAAGCAAGAAAAGAACGAAAAAAGAAAAAGAATTTTTTTATTGTAATTGTAATCGTTGTATTCCACATTGACACTAACGCATCGACATTCATGCGACAAGTATTAATCGTTATTCTTATATTTTGTTGGTGTTTTTTTTTCTTTTGTCTTATTCTTCGATATATGTAGATATGTATATATATATATTCACAACTATATTCTATAAGATAATGTTGATTTTTCTATTTCGTTTATCTGCGCACACGTGCCTTAGGATATTTATTGTCGATAATGATGAGTAATCGACTACCCTCGTCAACAATCTGCGTTACGTGCATACCGTCATCACTTTCATCACAACTTGCTATTATTCGGCAACAACAGTAAAGAAAAAAGTCTACAGTTTTTTTCTTATTTTTTTCTTCATATTCAACTTTCAACAAACAGAGTATGTGAGTGTGAGTTTATAAAACACGTAATTCTTTTATTTTCGTCGAAAATAAAGCAGTTTATATATACTTTTTACAGTTTACTTGAATTTTACTTCCGAAGAAGCAGATTGCAGATAAAACATTCCGCGAGATTTACCTTTTTTTTTACATTTGTGAATAATAGATTCTTTTATGTTACATATCATGTGTATTATGTGATTATTCTCTCGTTTCTTTTTACATATTCTGTTAGTCATAGTCGCTTTGTTAAGAAAAAAAAAGTAACGTATAGTTATGCATGATTGCTATTATTTGTATCCTCTTCTTTTTTTGTGACTAAAAACGTGTTTTATTTTATACATACAGATGTCAACAGATGGTAATCAACCACAAACGTTGAGTAAAAAACAACGTCGTAAAATTGCACGAGCTCAACTATCCCAAGCAACTCGCCCACCTGATGATGATGAACATGAGGAAGTAAATGAAATACAAACAATAATACCAACTCAGACCAATTATTCACAAGCGACAAATGTACCGTTAGCAAATAATACGATACAAATACCTATATCAAACATCAATGAACAAGCAGAGAATGTATAATATTTTTTATATCAATATTTTTTACAGTTATATTTTTATTATTATAGAATGTATTAATAACATTACCTAAGTCTGAACTGAAAACTACTGGATTGACAATAACGACTGTAATCCCAGATACTGAGAGTAAAGATGGAGCATGTGATGAGGATACAGACCTTTGTTCACCTTGTCCAACACCTCCGCCATCTCGACGTCGAAATAAACGTTTTCCAATAACATCTGCAATCCCATTATTACCTCCAGTTGAACAAAAATATGGACCACCATCTAAACTAAAACCCGGCACTTTAGGCACACCAACAAAAGTCTACACTAATCATTTCCCAGTTAAAGTAGCACCTAGCTTGATGCTTTATCAATATGATGTTATCGTAGAAAAACCAAGTTTTTCAGCTCCAGGCACTTGGGAAGAAGTAATGAGTCGTGATCAACGTCGACGTTTTGTACAACAATTAGCAACGAATAATTCATTCAAATTTATATTTTGGTAAGATATACAATATTTAATAAACTAAATTGTTGTTTTTTTCTAATATTACAGGTATGATGAAGGTAAATGTTTCTATTCAACAATAAGTATAAAGCAACAACAATTTCCATTAATATACACTCTTCCATCGAGTAATCAAGGTAGTCTTCGTTTATGTATTATTAATTTAGCTGGTCAATGGTCAACATCAACTATATTTGATTATATTCGTACTCCTAATTCAACTATCCCATTGAGTGCTGTTCGTATTCTGGAGACTTTATTAAAACAAGCTCTACAACCTGTTACACATTGTGAAGGTTCATTATTTTATCGAGATCGACCAGAACCAGATAAACGTTTACCAGATGGATTTGAGTTACGTTTAGGATTTTTTCAAGCATTACATTTAACACAAGCAGGATTAACACTTAATCTACAAACAACATTAACTAAGTTTTATCCAGATATGGAAATACTTGATTTTCTTACATTAAATTTAAAAAAAGATGTTCGTAAATTTGGTATGACAGGTAATGATTATGAAAAGGCTAAGCTTGTATTAAATGGATGTAAAATAACAACAAAACAATCAAACTATACACAAGTAAAGAAAAATAAAAGAAATTTAAATTCAATCTATTATGATCAAATTTTTTCTTTTCTTTAAGATTTATCAAATTCGAAGTTTTTCTGATATTCCTGAACGACAAACATTTACATTCACAAGAGAAACTAATGTTAATGGACAAAAAACTCGTTCAGACATTCCATATAACCTTATACAATATTATGATAAGGAGAAAAACATTCAACTTTTATATCCTAAATTACGATGTTTACAATGTTATTTTTTACATGAACGACATGATCCAAAACATATACCTATTGAATTATGTCGAATTCTTCAATGGCAAGAATGTGAACGCGAGGTTTGTATTTCATAAGACTAAATATTCTATTTTTTTTCTTCAAATATAAATTTTAGTCCGCTAATGAACAACGTGATCGTCAAAATCTTTCAATTCCATCACCTGATCAACGTTATAGAGATATAATGTCATCACTTCGAGCATGTAATTATCGTTCACCACCAACATTACCACTTTGTCAAGCTGTTCAATTAACAGTTGATGATGGTGAAATGAAACTTATATCAGCTCGTCTTCTTCCTGCTCCAGTTATTAATGATAATAATGCTGATATAAATATGGGTCGTATAAATTTAAGAGGAAAATTTGTTGAACCATATAGACTTAAAACAATTGCATTTACATATTTTGGTCCACCACCACCACCATTATCGGCTGAGAAGAAGACTTTAATGGGAAAATTTGTTGATTCTTTTCATAAAGTAAATTACTTACAAACGTAAAATTTTATTAATTATTTTTCTTTTAGATGGCGAAACAATTTCGTTTAGGTCCCATTGCAACAGCACCAAGAGACGCTGTGTGGATATCAGAGAATGAACAGGATCGTGAAGTAAATTTAAATGCTATTGAAACTTATTTTCGTGGTAAAAAGGAACAGAAGTGTGAATTGGTTATTTGTATAATGGATAGTTATTGGAATGAATTACGACCAAGTATTAAATTAAATGGAACAGTTACGTTTGGTATTTATCTTTTATTTATTAATTAGATTTATTAAAAGATTTTTTTTACTAGGTGTAACAACTCAATGTCTATTATATTCAAAACTACAAGAACAAATGGATAGATTTGCTCGTACACAACGTGGTAGTCCTGATCGTATATTAGATAATATGTGCGAAAATTTATTAAGAAAAATTAATTTTAAAATGCAAGGTATTAATACACAAGTTTCATTACCAATGCCTACAACAGATGCTTCGAGTAAATCAGTAAAATCAAAAAATGAAGATGCATGGCAATTTATGGGTGCTGATGTTCTTCATCCTGTATGTCGACAAGATAAACCATCAATTGCTGCTGTTGTTGGATCAGGTGATGCATTATGTTCAACAAGTGCTGTTCGAATATGTAAACAATGGCCGAGAAATGGTAAATGTGCTATTGAAGCAGTTGTTGATTTACAACAAATGGTTACAGAATTATTAGAATATTATCGAGAAGCAAATAATCGATTACCAAATAAGATTGTATTTTATCGAGATGGTAAATCATATATTGTATTCATGTAAGACATAACTTTTATCTTTTTATATAAATAGGAGTTGATGATGGACAATTTGCACGTATTCTTAATTTCGAAATACCGCAAATGAAACGGGCTTTTAAAGGTAAATTATTTTGTCTATAATAAATATAAAATAACCTGTGTTTCATATATATATATTGTTCTAGAGGTTTATCCAAAGGATACACTTCCACTTTTGACATTTATTGTTGTGAAAAAACGCCATCATACACGATTCTTCATGTTAGATAATCAAAATAAAACAGTTAATATTCCTCCAGGAGTTGTGATTGACACAGATATTGTACATCCAGGTCAATTTAGTTTCTTTCTTAATTCACATAAAGCACTTCAAGGTACAAATCGTCCAGCTCTTTATCATGTACTTTATGATGAAATACAATTTACTGCTGATGAATTACAATTATTAACTTATTATTTATGTTTTACTGATCCACGTTCATCGACAAGTGAAGCTATTCCATCACTTATTCATCAAGCTGATTTAGCAGCAAGTAATGCACGTGATCTTTTTCCTGAAAAAGATAAGTAAGTTTAACTATATATATACAGAGACATTTTTTCTTTCTTATAAATAATTTTTTCTTTTATGTAGTTCGACAAATGATGGTTATGCAGCTGATGCACTTGAAGAACCATCACTTGGTGATATTGTAACTGAACATTTACGTGTTCATGAAAGTATGCGTGATAAACCTCATTTTGGATAAAAAATAAATACTGAATGAGCGTATTTGCTTTATAAACCTGATTTTATTTATGCGTGTGTGCGTGAAAGTATTTGATTTTTTAATTCACGTTTTTTTTTATAAATTTATTAACGAGATTTATTTGATAAAAGAACGATATATACATATATATATTGTTCAAAATCTATTTGTATGCTATAAGTATAAGATGAAAAAACAGATAGTTATCCAGACTCTTCATATATTATATATTTCAAAAGTACAATAATCACTCAGCTATTTAAATGAATTATTTAAACATATTTTCATAATTCCGACAAAACTCTTTATTAGTTTGTATTAATATATATAAAATTTATTTATAAGTTATTTGTAATTAATATTTTATCATTTAAAAAAAAACATGGACCATCGTAGGCTTTCAGCCATTTTGAGGATCTTGTATGACTTGCTCTGTTAATATGGCTAAACCGAACATAACAAAAACACCTGACAGATAACCGACAGTGACACAGGCAAAACGTATCCAGTCAAATACATCTGATTCGGGCATTAACGATGGCCACTAGTAGAAAATAGAAGATCAACCAATGATTATATAATTACAACTAACAAAACTAGAAAAATCAACTTACTAAATCAACCAAAGCGATATAAATAAATATACCAGCAGTAATAGAAAAAATCCATGTACGGGAAGCTTCATCTGCTGAAAGACTAGCACCGATAAAAAAGCCAATAAAAGCTGTACATGCTGAGAACAAATTGAAAAGAAGTGCTCGACGAATAGTAAAACCCGATTCAATTAAAATCATCATTTCACCTACAAGAAAAATGAATGTAAAATTTAGAAAAATACAAAAATAATTAATAAATCGAACCAAGTTCAGTTGGTAATTCATGACATGCAATAGCAATAGCTGTTGTTATACCGAACAATATATTTTCAGAAAAAGCTGCACCGATTGCAAGGCCATCGGCAACATTATGAATACCATCACCAATAATTATCATCCATCCAATAGCTGAATAAAATCATGGATATATATATATGATGGTGATGATTTACTAAAGTCATTTTATTACCTGGTGTCTGTTTGTCATCAGGTGTTAAAGAATAATTAGGAAAAGTAGCTGAAACAATTGTAGTCCCACGGTCCCTTGTTAGAATTGGTAATGTACTTACTGCTTCAACCGGTAGATTTTCATGATCCAAACTATAATCATCCTAATAATAATAGTACACATTTACTGGTATATAAACGTAGTTTTAATCTTTTGAATAGAGAAAAATAACTTATATTCACAAATTGTTTACTTCTTTTGCTAATTAAATTTCTTAGAAATAATCTGACAATTGCTATAAACATGAAATACATACATACTTTCGATTGTCGATTTCGATAATTAATAACAACAACTATCATAAGTTCAAGAACATAGAAGACATATGAAGCTATTTAAATATAGTTATATAAATTGATATTAAAGCAATAATTACTCACTAAGTACAATAAGAAGCATTTGCCAAAGAAAGTATGGCACGGTTGGTTCATCATCATCATTAGCCGGTTCTGTTTCATTTGTTTGCGTTTCATTTGATGATGATTTGCTTGAATGGCCATCAAATTGAATGATCTAGTATTAATTATTTTATAAATTACAAATTTTGTATTATGAAAATCGACATACGCTAGGAAAAAGTTCAAAAGCACTATCAGCATATAATGCTCCAACAGCAAGTGCAGTAAAAAATGCATTTAAATATTTATAGTAAGGTTTTTTTGTTAATGGAAAAATAAGTGCACCACCTAATGAAAATGTACTGATTATAAATACACTCAAAAATCCATATCCATATTCTAAAAATTCAAAGAAAAATGATCAATAAATCATTTGCTTTATTGTATATAATTAATTTACTTTCAGCATTCGTTGGACCAGACTTATGATGTGAATCACCAGATTTGAATCCTATAGTATCAATAATATGTCGAACAAATGACGATTGTAATTTGTCCGAATTTATAGTGTTGTCTAATTTCCTTTTGGTATCATCTGTATCTATAGATGAAGTTCTCTGTAATTCAAATAATAAATTCAATTAAATATTTATTTTTTTAAATATGTATAACATACTGTGTCCTGATCTTCTTCAGCTGCATTTATATAAACCAAATAGAGACAAAAAATCAATAGTAAATAAATGAATTTTATATATCTGTCTATGTTAATCATTGTTTCGGTATGGAAGGTATGCTCTAATTGATATTCGCTTCTTTTTTTAACTTTGTCAGATAAAACACGAGTTAGCACTTCATATTTAACAACAATATTTTGTGATGTAGAAAAAAAGATAAAAAAATAATAATAGAAAGAAAAGATAAATATCACGTTTTAACTTTGGATCTAGTATTTCTTAAATTGTTATGGAAAAAAAATTTATTTGAAAACTCGTTAAGTTAATAAGTGTGATTTGTACATTTTAGAATATTTCGACTATAGGCTATAGAGTACAAGTTTTATCATAAAGATCTTTTGAATTAAAATTCAAAGTTGTGAAGATTATTTGATTATACAAGAAGAATTTTTTGTTTGTTCATTAGATAACGAACGTGGTAGTGATGATGTTTTTTTTAGAAATGAATTGTTTTCATTAGGAAACGTAGAATCGATAGTAGAAGTGGACGTAGCAATCGTTTATTTACTATTATTTGTTTTTTTATTACAATATCCAAAAACAGAAAAAATGTTAACTCATTTCTGTTAGTTCGATAAACTGACAAACAAAATAACTTAGATAAGAACAAAGAAACTTGTTTTGAGTACATGTCCTCACTTAATAATTCTAAATATTTCTAAACTACTGAAATATTTTTTTCTCTTATCTATAGTCCTAGCATTATGAAAACTATTGTACTTGAATAAAGTGTTATTATGAAAGTATCATTCAAGAGTTTCTATATTCTGATTCTATTTATTGGAAATGTGTATAGTTTCTAAAAGAAAAGATAAATTATTATCACAAGTTCTTGATTTTATTCGACTGATGTTATAATTTGTTCTTCGAGTATCGTTAAAATAAACATTATCAAAACACCTGTTAAATAACCACAAGTGACACAAATAAATCGTATCCAATCGAATTTATTTGTTAGAGGCATCAATGTAGGCCACTAGAAAGAAAAAGTTAATAAAATATTATTATTACTATTTATCAAAACACACTTACTAGATCAACTAAAGCTATGTAAGCAAATGTTCCTGCAGTAACAGCAAAAATCCATGTACGAGCAGCTTCATTTTGAGCAATACTTGCTCCAATGAAAAAACCAATAATAGCTGTACAAGCTGAAATAAAATTGAAGAGAAGTGCTTGACGAATAGTAAAACCCGATTCTATTAAAACCATATATTCACCTTTTAATTAATAAAAATTCCATATTTTTAAAATAGAAACAAATTATTAGAAAAAAGACGAACCAAGTTCAGTTGGTAATTCATGACATGCAATAGCAATAGATGTTGTTAAACCAAACATTGTATTTTCAGCAAAAGCTGCACCAATTGCAAGACCATCAGCAACATTATGAATACCATCACCAATAATTATCATCCAACCCGTACCTATACAAGATTTTAAAATATAAACTTAGTATATGATGATAAGATTAATTTATATCTACTTTTTGTTTGTCGTTCATCAGCTGTTATTGTTAAATTAGGCACAGTATTAGTAGAAATAAGCGAGTCATTACGATGTGGTTGTGATACATTTATTTCAGACATTGGTAATGCTTGTGGATTTGAATTAGATATTACCTATTAATAATCCATAAGAAAATATAATTTCTCAAGTTAAAATTATTCTATTCAACTAGTTTTATATAAGTATACATACTTCTACACGATGATGTCGATGATGCATAAAAACATGTATAAAAAGTTCAATAACATAGAATATATAAGCAGCTAAATCAAATGAGATTAATTGAGAAATATTACAAAAATGATTATTTACTAATAACAAGAGTTGCCATTTGCCAAAGAAAAAGTGGTATATGAATTTTTCTATCTGAATGTTGGTTTGATATAGTTTGACCATGTTCATGAACATGTGTTGATGTCTCACCACTTTGAATAATCTATTATTTTTTTCTGTTCTTATGTAAAAATATCTTAGCAAATCTCTTTTATATTTATATACGTACAACAGGTAATAATTCAAATGTCGTATCAGCAAAAAGTGTTCCAACAGCAAGTGCAGTAAAAAATGCATTTAAATATTTATAATAAGGTTTTTTCATTAATGGAAATGCAAGAAAACCAGCTAATGAAAGAATACTTATAATAAAAACAGCTAAAAATCCATAACCATATTCTAAAGATTTAATCATAATAGTTAAATTTTATTCAAAATTATTATTTTACTTTGTGTAAATGATGGTTGTTTATCAGATAAAATTGTTGATTGAGAACATGTTTTATTTGTAATTTTTTCCACAAACGATAAATGACACTCTTCTACAAGTTCGATTTCAGTACAATTTATTTCCCAATTGGTATTATTATTATCAAGAGATGAGATATGATAGATTGTTGATGAAGACCAACACTATATAAAATATAGTATTCTTTGATTTTTATACACAAATCTTACTGTATTTTTGTTTTGTTTTGTATTAATAAAATTCAAAAAAGTACTAAAGATTATTAACAATTGAAATATACCTAAAAATCGATCTATACTAAGCATTATCAATCAATAAACTGTATTAGACAAGCTATGATTATATTGCTATTGTCTTTTTATTTCAATACCAATGTTAATATTAAGATAAATGTGTACGTGATAAACTAAATATCACTAGACACAAAAGTTGTAATAATGGACGAAGAAAGAATATCAAAAGACAAAGTACACTATACTTAACATTTGAAAGATATAAGTTTAACAAGTCAATATTGTATGAAGAGTAGAAAAAGAAGGAGACGAAGACACCTGTTGATATCAGGCACCTTTGAAAACTACAATTGATAAAGTAAGAAATATGATTTAAATCGATAAACTATTTCCAGTTTTATTATTCATGTAAATAAGGAGAAAGACAAGTTTTATCAAATAGAATAATTGATTTTAACTTATATGATATCAAAGTGTAGGTCAATTACTTTAGAATTTTATTATGTTGTTGGATTATAAAAAAGAAAAGAAAAATAAAATCACCGATTACTATCTCACAGTTTTAGCGATAAAAATATATATAAAAAAATCGTTTATAATAGCTATTAATTTGAAAATAAAAGGAATGTTTTTCAATGAAGAATAATAAATTTTTATATTTGAAGTGTAAGTCTACCACATGTTCCAGTAGATGACATAATATCTGTATGAGCTTCTGCTGCTGCTTCTAATGGATAAATTTTGCCAAGAAGTGGTTTTAAATATCCATGCTTAAGACCATTTTGTAAATAAGCATTAGTCATTTGAAATTCTTCCTAATTGAATAAAAAGAAATTGAAAACAAAAAACATTACTTGTTCATCTTACGTCACTCGAACTAGATAAAGTAATACCGCAGATACTTGTTTCATTAGTCATTAAAAAACGAGGATTAATCTCAATTGCACCACGATTACCAACAACAACAATTCTGCCAACTTTTGGTGTAAGTATTTGTAAATCATTATTTAAATTAACATTTGCTAACATTTCAATTATTAAATCAACACCACCGCCATTTACTGAAGTAGTCTATTAAATCAATTGATGAAAATGAAATATTTCTATGAGTATAAAAGTATATTACACTAATATCTTTGAGATAACCTTCTTGTTTATGATTAAAAACAAGATCAGCACCCTGATCATGTACTGCTTGTAAACCTTGTTCAGTAGATGCTGTGCCAATAACACGTAAACCAAGTGATTTAGCTAATTGTACAGCTGCAATACCAACCTATTGTCAAAGAAAAAAAAGTAAATAAATTCTTATAGTTAATTCTTCATGAAAACTTACTCCTCCGCTAGCTCCATGAATTAAAACTGTTTCATTTGGTTTTGCATGGCCTCTATAATTAATAAGAGAATATGAAACTATGTTCTCATTTTATTTCTATTCATTTATATGATGCAAAAGAAATAAAACCATAGTTTATTGACTATTAGTTTTATTGTTATAACTACTTTTATTGAAGGATAATGGATACATTATCAGTTTCAAGTATCATTCTTACTTTTCATCTTTGAGTAAATCTAATTGATTCAATGAATGAGGCAATACGAAGAGAACAGTAGCTTATATTAAAATCTCAAATAACGTTTTTAATTGATTATTTTATTCAATAAACTAGATCATTTATATACACAGAATTTATTCATATTGTTAAGCAATATGATTTACTTCATGACGCTATAATATATAAAAATAAAAATAACTCATTTATTTTCGTATTATTATTCTTGATAAACTCGATTTATCCTATATATATATGAATACTAATCTTAATTATCTTGAATACTTTCAGACAGTGTGATACGCTTACTCAGTATGAACTAGACAAACAATGATATTGGCATGATCTGAAAAAGAGATCTAAAAATAACATTCTCTATCTCTTGTACGAATTATTCACCTTTAACTGAATCAAAGAAAATAAATAGTTATTCATTGGAATATGACAAAAGTTTAATAAATAATACTATGTATATTAATTATGAAAAATTCAACAAATATTTTCTTACTTAATAAAAAGTGCTCGATATGCAGTAAAATAAGGTGTACCAAGAGCTGAACCTTCTTCAAATGAAATATTTGATGGTAAAGGAAAAACATGATCAGGATGAGCTGCACAATATTCAGAATATGTGCCTGTAACAGTTTTCACCGTAAATACACGATCACCAATCTAAAAACGTACAAAGTTTTAGAATAGGAAAAACAATGCAAACAATTCTTATTAAATAAGAAAAACTTTATTTTTGAAAATAATCTCTACATATATTACCTTAAATTTAGTAACTTCATCGCCAACTCGTTCAATAACACCACTACAATCGCCTCCAGGAGTATATGGTAACTTAGGTAGACGAGTATATACACCTGATCGAATATATGTCTCTACTGGATTTACACCACTAGCATGTATACGAATTAATACCTAAATAAAAATTAAATTAAATTCAAAATTGTATAAAAAAGTTTGATTATATATTATACTTCTTGAGGTTTTATTTCAGGGATAGGTACATCTTTAGCTAATTTAAGAACACTAGCATCGCCTATAAATAAAAATAGATACATAATTAATAATTATTTCTAATAAAATTAGGGTCAAATAATATTATAGTACCGAATGCCTTGACTAAAATTGCACGCATAGTACTTGCCATTTGTATTCACAACAATTAAACTAACAATTTTGTATATATGTATCAAATTATTTAAAATCTGTATCGTTATATTTATCTATGTATTTGATAAGAGAAGACCAATACAAAACCTAATATCAGTATGTGTCGCTCACGTTCGGATTAAACCGATAATAAAAGTGAATTATTTCGACGACTTTTACTTCGAATTCCTCATAACGAATATCAAATGTAATTGAAATCTGTAAAGATAGTTAAGTAAAAATTATTGTAACATATCATAGCTTGATTAGATAAAAGTTCTGTTTTAATATTCTAGCATTTTTGAATATAATAAATATGATAATATGTTGTTAATAGCATAAGAAATAAGAATCTCGAATGTTCTCACTATTATTTCTATTTTAAGTAACATATAATGAATAGACTTAAATAGATTGTTTAATTTTAAAAGATATGTTAGATCACTGAACTGTATATTATAATTATACTAAGAGATTTGCTATAAATTTTACATATTACGCAATAAAAAATATCGTAAGGCTGTAGTGGCTATATCGAATTGTAAAAAAATCAATGATTTAACAACGAAGAAATACAATTAGCATATATACGATATGTTCAAAATTGTTTACTGTTATTCATTAAAAAATCTTTTACAGTAATTATTAGATATTATTAACACATTGATCTGATTTAAGAAAGAAATGAGATAACGCAATATAATATGAATATTGGAAAAATTATATTGCGTATATTTCA